TCAAAAATTTGAAACTTTAAATGATTATATCTAATAAACGAATTAAGTTATATTAAAAATTCAAATGCCATTTACTATTAAATTAAAAACTCAAACATTTTATTAAATTAAAAATATGTGTTACCATTTAAAAAAACAAAGTTGACCCCCTTCCAAGGCATAAGGGATGAACTTAAAAAGTATTACATAGTTAAAAATTCAAGAATAATGTGTAACTAAAGATAATGAAAAAAAAAATGTTTAAATTATTATTATTCTGCAAGTTATTGAATGGGTTATGATAAAAAAATCACCCTGTATATATATATATATAATTACCCGAATAGTGTAACGTGCGGAAAGAAATATATATCGATATAAATTGTTTTACCCGTGGTGTCGGTATATATACATATATATATATATATATTCCTGTTATATATATATTTACATATATTCATCATTTACTCGTACTGAACCGTATATTGGATTACGCATTAATTGGTATTGGATTTTTTAGCATTGCCCCATAAGTGAAGGCCGTAAGTCCATATGGGTTTTAAAAGGAATTTATAAATTAGAAGTTTAACATTAATGTTTGTAAATTTATTGTTTATGATTAATGATGTGAGTAACCGCAGACGGCTATTTAAAGACGAGCGTTTAATTTTAATGTGCTGAGCCCACGTGAGCCGATTATCTAGTGTAAGTCCGAGATACTTGACAGAGGAAGAGGAGGGGATTTGTACTCCATATAGGGAGACGCTAGGACAAGGGAGAAGTCTTAAAGTAAAGGTAGTATGAACTGATTTTGATTGAATAATTTTAAATCGCCATTTTGTGTACCAATCTTCCATTAGGTGTAGATGATTTTGCAAATTAACGGATGTAATCTGAGGGTCAGAGTTACAGGACAAGATAGCTTTGTCATCAGCATAATCTGCAACAATGGTGTTAGGAGTTATGGGTTGGTNAAGACGCTAGGACAAGGGAGAAGTCTTAAAGTAAAGGTAGTATGAACTGATTTTGATTGATTAATTTTAAATCGCCATTTTGTGTACCAATCTTCCATTAGGTGTAGATGATTTTGCAAATTGACGGATGCAATCTGAGGGTCAGAGTTACAGGACAAGATAGCTTTGTCATCAGCATAATCTGCAACAATGGTGTTAGGAGTTATGGGTTGGTCTGAGGTATAGATATTAAAAAGGATTGGAGATAGGATACCTCCTTGTAGGACTCCCGCATTAATAGAGGCTATATCAGATACTAAAGAACCAAGACGGATTTGGAAAAAACGATCAGTTAAATAGGATATAAAAAACAGGTAGTAAGAGGGATGCAGACATTTTTTTAATTTATTAGGAGGCCATCATGCCATACTCTATCAAAGGTCTGTGAGATGTCAAGAAACGCACTTGTGCAATATAATTTTTTTCAAGCGATTACNGAAGAACCAAGACGGATTTGGAAAAAACGATCATTTCAATATGATTTAAAAAACAGGTAGTAAGAGGGATGCAGACATTTTTTTAATTTATATAGGAGGCCATCATGCCATACTCTATCAAAGGTCTGTGAGATGTCAAGAAACGCACTTGTGCAATATAATTTTTTTCAAGCGATTACGATATTACATCTACTACTCTATGGATTTGATGTATAGTGGAGTGAGAAGCCCTAAAACCAAATTGGGAATTAGGCAATATATTAATGATAGAGAAACAGCAAAGTATTCTTTTAAGTAATAATTTTTAAAAAATTTTTGCAAAGAACGGTAACAGACTTATTGGTCTAAACGATGTTGGGAGGTCGGGGGTTTATTGGGTTTAGGAACTAAAATGATAGTCGAGAATTCCCATAATAGAGGGATATAAGAAAGTCTAATAATTGCATTAAATATATGGGTTAAATGTATAATAGCTTTTTTTGGAAAGCATTTTGCAACCACAGCCGTTTTAAGGTCAAAACCAGGGGATTTGTTGGAAGGGTATCTAGCAATAGTGAATTTTACGTCATTTGGAGTAAAACATTTAACTGGAAGATAGAGTGGTAAAGGTGCATCAAGGTATGTCATTACAGAACTAGTCATTTCAGGTGAGTGTATATTCGGATGAGGTTTAAAAGT